ACTTTTGAAATTTATAGCTATCACAAGAAAGAGGATAAATAGGTGTTTAAACAACCAGCTGCAGCAGAACAGCAACAGTCATTTGATGGGAATCCCTCACATTTTTCCCTAGGGTCTTGGGATTAACCCAGTTTGTAAAAAAAAGGCCATCGTATTGCCACACACAGTTTCCTTGTTTAGAAATTAATGCGGGCAGTTATGTTGTTGTTGTTGTTCTTAGGTGCCATCAAGTTGGTTTTGTCTCATAGCGATCCTGTGTACAACAGAACGAAACACTACCTGGCCCTGTGCCATCCTTACAGTCTTTGCTATGTTTGAGCCCAGTGCTGCAGCCACTGTGTCAATCCATCTCATTGAGGGTCTTCCTCTTTTTCACTGACCTTCTACTTTACCAAGCATAACGCCCTTCTCCAGGGACTGGTCCCTCCTGATAACAAGTCCAAAGTACATGAGATGAAGTCTCACTATCCTCACTTCTAAGAAAGATTCTGGCTGTACTTCTTCCAAGACAGATGTGTTCATTATTATGGCAGTCCATGGTATATTCAATATTCTTCGCCAACACAATAATTCAAATTCATCAGTTCTTCTTCTGTCTTCCTTATTCATTGTCCAGCTTTCACATGCATATGAAGCCATTGAAAATATCATGACTTGGGTCAGGCGCACCTTAGTCCTCAAAGTGACATCTTTGCTTTTTAACACTTTAACGAGGTCTTTTGCAGCAGATTTGCCCAGTGCAATACGTCGTTTGGTTTCTGATTTCTTGACTGCTGCTTCCACGGGTGTTGATCATGCATCCAAGTAAAATGAAATCCTTGACAATTTCAATATTTTCTCCGTTTATCATGATGTTGCTTATTGGTCCACTTATGAGGATTTTTGTTTTCTTTATGTTGAGGTGTAATCCATACTGAATGCTGTAGTCTTTGATCTTCATCAGTCAGTGCTTCAAGTCTTCTTCACTTTCAGCAAGCAAGGTTGTGTCATCTGTGTACCATGGGCTGTTAATGAGTCTTCCTCCAATCCTGATGCCATGTTCTTCTTCATATAGTCTAGCTTCTCAGATTATTTGCTCAGCATACAGATTAAATAAGTATGGTGAAAGGATTCAACTGTGACTCCCACCTTTCCTGATTTTAAAACACGCAGTATCCCCTTGTTGTGTTTGAATGACTGACTCTTAGTCTCTGTACAGGTTCTGCATGAGCACAATTAAGTGTTCTGAATTCCCATTCTTCACAATGTTATCCATAATTTGTTATGATCCACACAGTCGAATGCCTTTGCATAGTCAATAAAACCCAGGTAAACATCTTTCTGATATTCTCTGCTTTCAGCCAAGATCCGTCTAACATCAGCACTGTTATCCCTCATTCCACATCCTTTTCTGAATCCATCTCGAATATCTGGCAGTTCCCTATTGATGTACTGCTGAAGTCATTTTTGAATTATCTTTAGCATAATTTTACTTGTATATGATATTAATGATATTGTCCGATAATTTCCACATTCTGTTGGATCACCTTTCTTTGGAATGGGCACGAATATGGATCTCTTCTAGTCGTTTAGTCAGGTAGCTGTCTTCCAAACTTTTTGGCATAGAGAGGTGAGTGATTCCAGTGTTGCATCAATTTATTGAACCTTCTCATATTGGTATTCTGTCAATTCCTGAAGCCTTATTTCTCTCCAGTGCCTTCACTGCAGCTTGGACTTCTTTTAGTACCATCGATTCTTGATCATACACTACCTCTGAAGTGGTTAAATGTCAACCAGTTCTTTTTGGTACAGTGTCTCTGTGTATTCCTTCCATCTTCTTTTGATATTTCCTGCATTGTTCAATATCTTGCCAATAGAATCCTTCAATATTGCAACTCGAGGCTTGATTTTTTTGTTCAGTTCTTTCAGCTTGAGAAATCCTGAGCAAGTTCTTCCCTTTTGGTTTTCTATCTCCAGGTCTTTGTACATTTCATTATAATACTTCAGTTTGTCTTCTTGAGCTGCCCTTTGAAATCTTTTGTTCAGTTCTTTTGCTTAATCATTTATATCATTTATACCGCCCTAATTCTAGAAAGATAAATAATGAATGTTGGAATGAAAACAAAGAAGAGTCAGCCAGCATTGGCAACATTACAGAAATTAATTTAAATTTACATCAAGCAGGAACATACTGTTTGTAAATGATGGGACTTTTATGTACTTTTATACAGCTGTAATGAGAAAGAATCATATTTACTTGATTAAGCATTAGCTTTGCTAATTGTGGAACTAGGACCAAAATAAGTACTTTTAATGAGAGTTTACAGATATCTGTATTCAAATACTGGATATTTCCCTTGCACAGTAATCTAACAGTTTTTAGAAAATCTTATACCCATTGCTATAGTCAGGAGAAAATGATCCAAAATGAGCATAGTTATGATAAGTTACACAATTTTAGCAAAATCTGCAGATGTCTTAGTGTATGTCTGTAAAAAAAGCCATTACTGAGTATGTATTAGATTCTTTTTGTTGCTATAACAAATTACTACCAACTTAGTGGCTTAAAATAACACAGATTTATTATTTTATACTCCTGAAGGCCAGCAGTTCAAAATGGGTCTCATGGAGCTAAAATCAAGGTGCCAGCAGAGCTATATCCCTTCTGGAGGCTCTAGGGAAGAATCCATTTCCTTGCCTTTTTCAGCTTCTAGAAAAGTCCACATTCCATTGCTCCTGGTCCTCAATCAGCAGTCCTATCACTGCTTTTGTCATCACTTGTCTTTCTCTAACTCTGCCTCCTCCCTTTTTCACTTATAAAAACCCTTGTGAGTATACTAGGTCTCACCTGGATAATCTAGGATAAAATTATCCTAGATTAAAATTTCCCTGTCTAAAGACCTTTAATTTAATTGCATCTTCAGAGTCCCTTTTGCTAGGTAAAGTAACATATTTACAGTCCTGGGGATAAGGATGTGGAGGTCTTTTGGGGGCCATTATTCTGCCTACCACAGAGTACTAGCTATCCCATTAACAATTCACATCTCTGATGTCTAAATATGAGCCTTTTTTGTTCCTGTGGGGATATATAGAGGATGGTGAGAAGTTAAGGAAAACACACATGTAATTTTTTTTTTTTCTAAGTCTAGCAACAAACACCAAAGGGTAAGTTGATACTTGGTGGTAGGCATCCCAAAAATATATTTTTATCAATAAATGAATGCATGGGAAGACTAGAAATTCTGCATACCATAAAATTGTAGTTATCTGGAACCTCAGAAAGTATGTTTTCTAGAGAAGCAATTCTTTAACAGAAAATTAAAAAAAAACAAAAACTGATGTCATATCTCTAATTTGTTGTGTCATAGAAATGCATCGCATAGGTAGAAAATTAAAAATATAAGTGAGCTTGTATTAAAAATGAACTTTCCCCTGCCACTCCTCTCTTCCCCAGGTCTTACTTCTCAGAGACAACCACTTCTAAGTATTCCTGTTTTTAATTTTTTCTCCAGGTCACTCCTAAATCTCTAAATAATATGTCTATCCTATGTTTTTTATTTATCAACTTCAGACATTGACTACTGACTTCTTGTTAGGATTTATCTCACTTATACACCATGCTACACCCTGTATTCTTACCCTAATCTCATTCTTTCCATCAGTTAATTCTGAAACAGTACTGCACACTTAGGGTGGGGGGATTTCTTTAACTATCCCTATTTTCCAGAATCACAGGGTTCGGGTAGAATTCAATATTGTCATCAGTTTGCTTGTCTTGAATTAGAATTTATCATTCTTTGTATCATCAAACCTGGAACACAGATTTTGAATTTATGTTAATAGTATGTTCTAGTTGTTTAGATACAGATGTGAGACATGGGGCTCAATATGCTCTCAAAACCAGTAGAGGTCCTGGAACGTGATTTCTTTAAAAAAAAAAAAAAAACTTGATAGATAATTGCTTAGGGATCATCACTACCACTGCATCAAGATGAAAATTTTCTAGTTTCATCTCTAAGTAAATGACCTGGCTTCTGATGCCACTGTATCAGAGCTGTATATCATGAACTTCCATCTACCTTCAAACATCCCTGTTCATGCTCTCATGTTGTTTCAGATGAAGAGCTGGAATCTTTTCTTTTCTGAAGCTAACTCCGCCATTTGCATTCTGGAGTCCTAGGACCTTTGTTCTTTAGGTCTGCATCTACAGATACAAAAGAAAAAAGAAAAAAAATCTTCCACTTAAAAAAAATCTTCCAGTCTCTCCCCTCACACTAATCATTCATCTGATGAAACCGTCTTAATTTCCGTTCAAATTTCTCTCTCCCTTTAAATACAGGCATTCCCTGAGTGTTTGTCTTTAGTCCACTTTTCTTCTTGCCTTTTTCCTGAGAAATTTCATCCCCATGACATCAACTATCACTCTGAGCCCGAACCTCTTTCCTGAAGTTCAGAGGCTCCTTCCTACCTATCCGTTAACACAACTGAGTATATTCAAAGTTGTTGTTAGTTGCCACAAAGTCGACTCCAACTCATGGTGACCCCATGTACAACAGAATGAAATGTTACCCAGTACTGTGCCATCTTCACCATCAAGTCCATTGTTGTAGCCACTGTGTATTTTGAATGCCTTGGACCTTTGAGGCTCCTCTTTCACAACTGTATCAGACAATGTTCTGGCATATCCAAAGATAGGTATATCTTTGGATAAAAATATCTGTATCCAAAGGTAAAGTATTCCATACTTTGTATCCTCCTACCCTACCCTTAAGAGAACAAAACTACCAACCAGTCAAACACAACACTTCTCTCTCTATTTCCCATGCTGATTGATCCCAGTTAATAGTTTCCCAGTCCCCCAGGGATACATTAGAAAGAATTGTAAAGCTAAAAAACATCCAAAGTTATTGCAGTCTGTAAGGTTAGCTTCAAGTATGCAAGTCTCCTCACCCTCGGACCCATTATTTTCCTCTTAATGTACCTGCTTAATTCATCTTCTGCATTTTTATGATTTCTTGCAGATCTGCAGTTAAGGCCCTACGTCCTGGAGGGTTACTTGTTTACTCTACATGCACACTTTCCAAGGCAGAAAATCAAGATGTGATTAGTGAAATTTTAAACTCCTACAGTAACATCATGCCTGTGGACATTAAAGGAATGGCACAGACTTGTTCCCAAGACTTCACATTTGCTCACACTGGCCAGGAATGTGGGCTCTTGGTAATTCCAGATAAAGGCAAAGCCTGGGGCCCTATGTATGTAGCTAAATTGAAAAAACTGTGTACCGTGTGAAGTTGGCAATATGCATTTCGTAAACCATGTTAATGTATCATTATATTTATTTTTATGAGCTCTCTGTATGAATATTTAAATAACTGCAGTCACTTTTGGAATTCTATTTAGTAAATACTTCAGCATCTCAGAATCTGGGCTTGAGAATTTCTCAGGTGTATTTTTTTTTCCTAAGGTGGTGCAGATGGTGTTTGTTCTGTACAGTAAATCTGCTGTCTTTTACTTGGCATATTCTCGTTAAATTAATCAGAATACATGATTTTTCTGCATAAAATGTTTAGAAAGATATTCTAGCCACTGAGGGTTAGTTCTTTGAACCTTTAAAAATTTGCTGGCCCTCTTACCATTTTCCTCATCAAATATACAGATTTTTAGGATTCCTCCCCCACCCCCCCTGCCCTTTTTTAAGAACTGATTGGTATTCTGAGACTAACTCCTTAAGCAGCACGATTTCGAGTCCTAGCAAAATAGATTTCTTATTTACCAAGTTGTTTTCTGTTAAGGACTATCTTCTGTTTATTGCAAAGGTCAGTGACTTGACATCAGCTAAATTTCCCCCCCTTTTTTTGCATTCACAAATACAAATTGAAAGGGTAAATTATTTTGAAAGGCCATTAAAACAGCAGATTGACATGCACATGTTTGACTTTCGACATTCAGTTTATAGAATACTAGAGTCTATCCAGCAGGCTATGAAGCAAGTACTGGAAACAAAACCATAATGATTAATAACTGTAATAATGGGACTATATTTGGAGAGTTTTCTTACATAGTTGCAGTCATAATGAGCAGTACAGAACCTGATTATCTTACAGTTGCAATCTGAAGGGGCTTTTTATGTCACTTCATTATGAAATGTTATGTGAGAGTATGATGTCCTATATTAATGCTCAAGAGGGAGATGCCTAATGAGAGTGGATTATACTACTACCAAACCCCAGTAGCTTTTCAATACCATTTACTAAGTGGCTCTCCCTGTTTACGTATACCCTGGGAATATTGTGTACACTTCTGTATATGTACTCGGGGTTTTAGCTTCAAGTTTGCATCATGTGTTTTCTTTCTCCAGAAACTGCCTCACTTAGAGTCCAAACATATTTTTCTAACTATTAAGAAAAATTATGTAGCATATTCTAAAAGATTATATCTATTGGGAATTTAGCTTCTTTAAACTTAATATTTCTGATGATAGGAATACAAAATTCTGCTGCAGCTGAATCTTATTCAGTTGTTCATTACATTCCGTGCATTTAAACTAGAAACTATTTGCTCATTAACTGTTTTTTGCTTTGCAAGCATATATATCTGGGTTCATGTAACTGGGAAGTCCTAGGAAGAACCTTTTTTCCATACCTTCCTTGCACTGGCAATTTTTTTTCCCTTTTATATCTAATTGATATGTTTAAAGTAAAGATAGATCTCATGTACCCAATCCACTTATCAGATATGCTGGGTTAATACAGAAGATTAATGATGATGGAAATGATGTTTTTTTTCTTAGTTTATGTTCCTTGGCTTGTTTTCAATTTGAAATCCTACCTTAAGATACTATAGGTTTATAAGGTGGGATTATTCAGTGTGGGTTAATCACAAACTTTCACAGGGTACTTTGTTGCATGTCATTATTTTCCCAATAAAATGTCATGAAGTCTAAGATTAAACTTTCCCATAAGTACTGAAAAATGCAAATATATATGTATATATAGCTCACTTTATTATTAATAATTGTAATGAAACAGCTAACATTTATTGAACATTAAATATTTGATGACATTCCTTATCTTTTTTTTTTTTTTTAATCTTTAAAATAATTCCATGAGTAGGTATTGTAACCTCCGTTTGGTAAATGAGAAAACCAGAGCTCAGTGCTGTTAATTGTTTGCCAAGGCTCTACTGCTAAGCAAAGGGTAGAGCCAAGGTTAAAGCCAGCACCAAAGCCCAGCTTCTCTTCCTGCACTGAGCTGTCTGCCTCACATGCTGTCTGCTATAGGAACCTTCAAGATTATCAAGTAGCTTTGCTCTTATTCTCCATTGCTCAGTTTTCTACCTGTATGAAATTCCCTGTTCCTAGGGCATAGGAATGTTAATCAATATGTGGAAAAAAATCTTTAAAATATTTCAGGACATGTTCATAAGAAGTGCTTCTTGTGATTGCAATACCCAGAATTCTCCTATGGAGGTATTCTGTGCCTTTCTTTTCTTTGCAGATGTTGAACTGAAGAGTAGGAATTCAGGGCAGCCTTGTAATGTCATTTGAAAAGCAAGAAATAATTGATATCACTTTCTGTGGCATTGAGTTACTTTCAAATAGTTTTGTAAAAATTTAGGTTGCTTATTAACACAGGAACTTCTCTCTCCATCAGCACACTGAACAGCCACTGGTTTCAGAAATAGACTGTGAACAAATTTAATGCATTTAAATGGTTTGTAGTGAATTTTTTAAGCTTCAAATATTATCTGTGGTTTGGAATCAAGGTGGCCTACAGTCCTTTATCCTATTACATATGTCCATATAGCCTCAAACTCAAGATTGTCTGTTATCTTCTTAGCAGTATTATGAAAAATATCTTTTTATACACTGTGGGTAGGTATGAAATAAAATAGATACCAGAACACTTTCTATATGACTAAATAAACACAAATCTAGTAGACCCTTACCCAAGAGGGCTTTATGCCTTCGAGGTAAGCATCAGATAATCTGCATAGGCTGATGCAACCCACCTGAATACTAAAAGAAAATTGGAACCAGTAGCAACACTTTTGTTAGATGCCAAGAAGTCCTTCGTTGCAATCAAATGGGACTATGTGTATTATGTGTTAGGTAAATTTGGCTCTGGGAACAGATACAACAGATAGCATAATTTATTTTTAACCCATTTATATGGTTCAGATCAATGGTTTACAATCTCCTCTTGCTGTCTTATTGCTGCATTGAGGAGGGAAGTAAGGATGGTGCCCATTACTGCTGTTACTCTTCATGCTGACATTGGAGCTATAATATCACCCGGTTCTCATGGGCATCTGAAGGATATTCAGATGGATGTTCGCGGGTTAACGAATGTATGCTAATAATCTACTACTTGTGCTGAAAGCCCCAACAGCATCAGTCCTGAAAACATTAAAAGTCATGTCAGAATTTGGAATGGCCCCAAGCTGTAAAGTCAATGGGAGAGAATCAGAAATACTGCCTTGACAAAATAGTTTCTATCAATATTACTTTTCCTGTGACATTAAAATAAAATAAAAATTTAAAATTAATTGATTTGGGGTTCTCATTAGGAGTGATTAAACGATACAGTAAAAATTTTTTTTTAAAATTGACCTATAATTCAATGCTAAGATTTTAAAAAATAGGTTTCACTATATATAAGAAGAGAAAAATCGTAGTGGAGATAATACTTCTTTAAAATTTAATTAACAAACTCAAATACTAACTCTATAGCTTTCTGTAACTTGTCACAAATGAAGAAAGTAATTTCCTTAGTCATGTGAGACCATATAGCATGTTGAAACCCAGTGAAAGTATATGCTACCTTAGAAAAAGGCCTGTTTGCCTCATTGGAAGCTTTTTAATGGCATACATCATGACTCAATTAAGCTTGCTATGGCTTGTCAAAAAGAATTTTCACTGTATATTGCTAAGGAAGAGCCTATTACACACAAATAACTGTACAACCTAGCAGAATCAACAAAGAGACTAAAAACATATAGCCTATTGAAAATAAGAAACAGGACAATAGCACCCAGCTTTTCCTAATTCTGAAAAACAAGTAGGAGTAAAATTGCAGATGATAGTAAGAATGGACAAAGAGAGATTAACATTGGCAAAAGGAGAAAAGAGGGACTGGGCTTTTTCAGCGTATAATTATCAAGTTATAGAAAAGAGATTCTGCATTTGCTCATCCAGACAAGACGTTAACAACCTTTCCAAAATGGCCAACCTTTTTCCCCTTTTGGCATTGCAGTAATCAGTGGGCCGAGGGATGGAGGAATGAGAGGACTGCAGGACTTGTGCTGACTCAGGAATTGATTTTAGTAGGAGGATTACTGTGGGCTCATAGCTCACAGCTGCTGACTCAAGAAAAAGGAAGGAAGGGACGTGATGGTGCCACTGGAAATTGTTCCATGTGAAGTTTTTAGCCATGAGCATAACTAGCTATACCTTTCCACATTGATAGGCATCCCTCTTGAATTGATCATTAAAAAAAACAATATAAGTCCTGGATTATAACACATTTATTTAAAAAACACAACCAAAAACCAAACAACAACAAACCCTATTGCCATTGAGTCAATTCCAACTCACAGTGGCCTGATAGAACAGAGTAGAACTGCCTCATAGGGTTTCCAAGGTTTTAAATCTTTGCAGAAGCAGACGGTTACAATCTTTCTTCTGCGAAGCAGCTAGTGAATTCAAACCACCAACCTTCTGATTAGCAGCTGAGCATTTTAACCACTGCGCCCAGGTCTCCTGTAATAAACACAACAAACACTCACAAATCAAACTACCTATGTTCTTTAATAAAAGATCGCATCTGCTATATATCTTAGTACAGATCAAACTGGTAATTAGTTACTGTGGAGTCGATTCTGACTCGTAGTGACCCCTTGTGTGTCAGAATAGAACTGTGCTTCATAGGATTTTCACTGTCTGATTTTTTGAAAGTAAATCGCCAGGCCTTTCTTCCAGGGCACCTCTGGGTGGACTGGAACTTTCAAATTGGTTAGCAACCAAGCACGTTAACCATTTGCACCACCCAGGGACTCCTCTTTGTACAGATAAAAAAACTCTCGTTGCCGTCGAGTCGATTCCAACTCATAGTGACCCTATAGAACAGAGTAGAACTGGCCCATACAATTTCCAGGGAGCACCTGGTGGATTTGAACTGCCAGCCTTTTGGTTAGCAGCCATAGCTCTTAACAGCTATGCTACAGATAATCCCTGTTAAAGCTTCCATGTGAAACTGTAGCTATGCCAATAGATTCACTATTCTCAGCTTCCTACTTAACCTGATCATATAGAGTTAAAGCAGTAAATGCCTTTGCCATCCTTCAGTATTGAGTTGGCAGAAACGATATCGATTCCTAAGAGGTGGTTTTTGAGCTAGGAAAATGACCGTGGAAAGGTGTAAGTGGGATCTGGGACATCCATTCTGGAACAGGGACTAGATTGCATCAGTTAAGCCTGTTTCAGAAGCAAGGGACACTAGGATAAGGCCTAAAGTCTTTAGGGTACTTCCAGGAAGCACATTACAACTCCCAACAAAGTTTATCTATCTGGTCAGACACCCTACATTCACTGAGAATTTTAGCATCTAGCTCATAGCTTATCCATCTGAATTCATGCCATCCTCCAGGCTGATAGGATACCATCCAGTATCCTATCCTCCTTAACTGCCTCTCCCTCAATGACTTTTGTCTCCATTGTCTTCAGCAACTCACATGCATGAACATTCCCTAGAACTTGGCTTTATCTAGAGCCACATTGCCCAAGGGACTTTTCTGCAATGATAAAAGTGTTTTATCTGCACTGTCCAATATGGACAATATGATAGCCATGTGTTGCTATTCAGCACTTCAAATATGGCTGGTGTGACTGAGGAATATACTTTTTAATTTTATTTACTTTTAATTAATTTAAACTTAAATAGCCATATGTGGCTAGTGGCTACCATATTGGACAGGACAGATCTAGAATTTCTCCACTGTCTTAGTTACCTAGCCCCGCTGTAACATAAATACCACAAGTGGGTGGCTTTAGGAGTCCTGGTGGCGCAGTGGTTAAGAGCTCGGCTGCTAACCAGAAGGTCAGCAGTGCGAATCCACCAGCTGCTCCTTGGAAGTTGGAATCGACTCGATGGCCATGGGTTTGGGTGGCTTTAAAGTACAGAAATTTATTTTCTCACAGTTTTGAAGGCTAAAAATTCAAATCAGGGTCTCAGCCATGTAGATTCCTTCCTTGTTGGTTAGCCCTGGGTATTTCGTGGTTCTTGTTAATCTTCCCATGCCATCTGTCTTCTCTAGTATTCTTGAATCTGTGTCCAATCTACTCTTTTTATAACTCAGAAGGGATTAAGTTTAGGATACACCCTACACTGATATGGTCTCATTAACAACAGAGAAACCCCTGTTTCTAAACATGGTTACATCCACAGGTATGGGGGTCAGGATTCCAACACATATTTTGAGGGGACACAACTCTATCCATAACATCCACTTAGAAAACTTTAATCTCAGTGCTTTCTGTTCTTCCAGTGTTCTACTCTCTCATTCTCGTTAAAACTGCAGTCTGATTCCCTTGACACCTTTATCCTCCTGAGAGTATTCTTTCTTCTACTGGTCTCCTTTCCCTCTTATCTGTCCTGGTCCCTGTGGTTGACGCCTTGAACCTTGTTTCTCACAGTGCTTTCACTTCCCTCATGCTCTTACATTCCAACTTCACTTGCTATTTGAACTTGCAACTCTAGATCAGTCCTATATAGTCCGTGCTTCTACTGCTATACCTTGATGGCTGAGCAGTGTTTGGAAAAAAGAAAATCATGCAGCTTTGCAGAATGTCACTATAAATTCATGCTTACCAGACTCTCCTATGACTTTTACAATGCTTGATAACCTTGGCTATTCCATGGCCAGCTTCCTTTTCCATTCCCATTAGTGGCTTTTCCAAACTTCCACTAGTCTTGACAACTCTTCTATATAAACCCTCCCATCTTTTCTCTCAGAAAACGCCCCTACTTCCTAGTCCTTTCAGAAAATTGTGGCCATCAGAGTGAATGTACTTATCTCTACCTTTCATGATTCATACTCCTCCCCACTTTATTTAAAGGCCTCACCATCCATCCAGCCTTGGTGTCATGTATTACATTTTTCTTTCTTCTTCCTCAGTCTCACATCTAGATAATAACCAAATCCTATCTTTTTTTTTTCTCTCTTATTTAGTACCATTGATGTTGCTTTAGGTAAGATCACCTGGGCCATTGAATTTTCTCCTCAACGCTTCTTACCTGCCGATCATACCTCCAAGTCCACCCTCCATCTGCAGCCAAAGAGCTCTTCTATAACAAAACCTTGTCCTGTCACTACCCTACTGTCTTGGTTATCTAGTGCTGCTGTAACAGAAATAACACAAGTCGGTGGCTTTAACAGAGTTTAGGAGGCTAGAAGTCCGAAGGGTGCTGACTCCAGGGGAAGACTTTCTCTCTCTGTCAGCTCTGAGGGAAGGTCCTTATCTCTTCAACTTCTGTTTCCTGGTTCTTTGGAGATCTCCATGTGGCTTGGCATCTATCTTGCTCCATCACTGCTTCCTTAATCTATTCCTTTTATATTTTGTAAAACATTGATTTAAGACACACTCTACACTAATGCTGCTTTATTAACGTAACAAAGGCAACCCATTCCCAAGTGTGATTATAACCACAAGCACAGAGGTTAGGATTTACAGCATGTATTTTTAGGGGAGACAATTCAATCCATAATGATTTCCCATTACGTATGAGATGAAATCTGAGCCTTTAGCATTTTATTCAAGGATTCCTTGCTTTGAGATCTCTCTCCCTCTCTCTCTCTCTGCTCTGTCTCACTCTCTGCTTTATCTGTCTCTCTCTTCTCTGTCTCTCTCTCTCACACACACACAGAGTTACATCTTTAGTTTCTTCATCAAAATTAGAATAATGCTACTGGAGAAACCTAACATCACAATGTATAAAGTGCCCCAGCTCATTGGTTGGATGCTCTTTGTTTTCTACTAGGGGATCTGATGTTATTTTTTCACAGTAGCTAGATATTTCAAAATACAGTCGTGTTCTTACACTCCTATCTGGAAACAACATAGGTATATTTTAGGCTGCAACACTTAGTTTTTCGTGAACTGAAAGAATAACCAAACCATTTTCAAAACTTTGTGCATTGGACTGAGAGATGTAAATTAAATAGAGAACCCACTATATTATGGGCATGCTTAGGCATGCATACAGTGTGGGAAATTTTCAAAATGAAGTAGGCTCAATAATTCATTGGAATGCCAATGGATAAATCCATAATTGTCTTCTGGAGGATACTTCAAACCTACGAGGAATATCCAAGGGCAGAACAGCAGATGAGAATGTCTTAAAATAGAAAAATTGTACTTCAGCATATCAAGGACAGTCAAAGAATAGATTATTAAAGTAGCACTTGCAGAAACTATAGGAAAATCTTATTCTTTATAAACTCATCAGTTATTCCAGAAAAAAAAAATTTTTTTTTTGGAAAAGTGTAAACTACTGTGTTCTAGCACTACTTCTGCCTTTAACTTGCTCTGTGACATTAAATAGCTCTCTCACACTTTCTTAACTTTGGTTAACCTCCGTTACTGTCAAATATCGAGTGATCCTATAGAACAGAGTAGAACTGCCCCATAGGTTTTCCAAGGAGTGACTGGTGGATTCAAACTGCCCAGACCTTTTTTCGTTAGCAGCTGTAGCTCTTAACCACTGTGCCACATATTTAAAGGAAGACAGATTATCTCTATGGGAAGTTAATATATTTTGAACCATGACTATATCCTAGGCATTGTTCTGAGTATTTTTTTGTTGTTGCTGTGGGGTGCCATCAAGATTCCAACTCATAGTGACCCCATGTGATAGAGTAAACTGCCCCATAGGGTTTTCTTGGCTGTAATCTTTACGGAAGCAGATTGCCAGGTCTTTCTCTCACAGAGTCACTGGATGAGTTTGAACCACCAACTTTTTTGTGCCACCAGGGCCTCTATCTAAGTATTTACATACCTGTTATTTTATTTAATCCAGACTCTTCTCTTTCTCTCGATGGCAGCAAGTTTGATTTTGGTTTCTTCTCTTTCTAAAACGTTTTCTTTTTATTTATTTAATTTATTGTGCTTTAGGTGAAAGTTTACAGCTCAAGTTAATTTCTCATACAAAAATTTATACGCATATTTTTATGTGACCCTAGTTGCAATTGCTATAACGTGACAGCACACTCCCCCTTTCCAGCCCGGGTTTCCCGTGTCCATTCAACCAGCTTCTATCCCTTTCTGCCTTCTCATCTAGCCTCAGACAGGAGTTGCCTGTTTAGTCTTATGTATCTACTTGAACTAAGAAGCACACTCTTCAGAAGTATTATTTTGTGTTTTATAGTCGTCTAATCTTCGTCTGAAGAGTTGGCTTTGGGAATGGTCTAAAACGTTTTCTGATCTATGAATCTGAGGCTGCGGCAGAAGGCTAATACATTGTACAAAGGTCAAGGGAGAAAATAGACAATAGATGAGAACCAAAGTAGGTCTAACCAAAAACCAATCCCTTGCCGTTGA